AAAACTGATTACGTAATTTCATGTAAAAAATATCATGGCAAAAAAATTCACATGATCATATGAAATGTCGAATAATAGAGTTATTGGATGCGTAGCATCCAATAACTTTTCTTATTGTTGATAACGTAAAAATATTCTATTTAAGAAAAAATATAGTAAATATGCAACATATATGTGTATCGTGAAATCTAAGTGTTAAAGATTTGCTCTAAAATGGACACACATACTTTATTACAAGTTATATACTAGTGAAATTAAACTAGAGTGGTGAAATAATTTCATCACTACTGGCGAAATTGATGTTGAATTTGTAAAATTAATTTCATTAGTATTTTTACTCATTACAATGACAACAAAAATTTAATCACCAAGAATTTAGTTATTAAGTTTATAAATTATTCATTCTGCATTTAGGCTTGAACTTTAAATACAATGAATAACAATCGCTTCGATTATACATGAATCCAGAAAAATTAAATCATATAAAAATGTTATAGATGGCCATGTCTCACGCAAAGATGCACGTTATGATTTATTTTACCAAGGTATCATATGAAATTGTAATATTTTAGCGGAAAACGTATTCTTAACTTTGATATAATTTCCTGTAAATCAAACGAGTAACCATACATTTTGGAACACCATTAAATGACTTAACAATCGGATACTTGCGATTAATATTTAAAAGTAACGGACAACATTGTTCAGAAGATTCCGAAGAACTGGAATAAAGTAAACTTGCGAATACATAGTTTTCACTGTCAGGTATATACCAACTATTCCCAGTGAAAATGTTATTAAGTGGCCTTAGAAGACTCCAATTGTCTTTCCAGTTTTGCTTATTCTTGCTAACAATAAAAGGATGCTGTTTTTTTAGCATCAGATGTACCAAGAATAATAGCACAATTAATCTTAAAAATTAATGGAGCTAAGGTAGAATTATTTGAAAGATCGTGTTGACTACTGCATACTTTCATTTTTATATTTTCAGGTTGACAAAAATGGTGACTAATAACAATATTTGACATTCCAAATTCATATCCAGGATTTTCTTCACAATCTAAAACACAAGTGCTTATTAAACAGTAATCTTGATGGGTTGGTTTTGTGAGTTTAATTTCTGTATCTGTTCCATCTTTTGACCAAATATATTCAACACAAAAGGATTTTGATAATGGTTCAATTGGGAGCTTATCATCATATCCAATAATCATCCATGGTACCGAAAGATTGATTGGGGGAGGATCTTTGATGGCCGTGCTAAGGCAATGAATCATGAAATATGGGCTTTATGGATTTTGGTAATCCACGCGAATTGCAAAAACACTACTGAAATACAGTGGCGATCATAAGTAATGGAGCAAAAAAAAAAATTTGGTTAGATCACGTTATTTCGTGCAATTCTGGACGT